ATAATAATCTTGGCAAACTCACTCACGTGTCATGGCTTATTCACCTCACAACTCACACGCACGCACGCACGCACGCAGACATACTTACAAACTTACTCTCACTTCACTTTCGCTTCTCGCTCACTCTCCCTCTCTCTCTCTTTCGCTCTCTCTCTCTCTCTCTCGTCCTCTCTCATCTCTCTCTCTTCTCTCTCTCTCTCTCTCTCTTCTCTCTCTCTTCTCTCTCTGCTCTCTCACACACACACACACACACACACACACACACACACACCACACATAACACACTACACACTACACACACACAGACAACTTGTATTTGAAAATTCCAATTTGCTAATACAAAAATCCTACTACCTAGACACCCCTGACTTTAACTATTGCTGACGCATTCCTGCCCTAACAAAACCACTCAAAGTTAAGCGGCCGGCTAAAGACCATAATAGGCGGCCGTTGAATGCGAAAGAGATATCCAACAACAAACGAGGCGGCCCTTAATCACCGGATTTTTGCATAGGAAAGTTGGCGACACTCAATAAGAGACACGAACGCCCGCCCTGACATTTACGGCTCCGAACGCATCGGATTTGCATCGTAAACAGGATTCGGTTCGCTTGTGAAAGGATCGGATGCTACTCCTGCGAAGCTCGCGGTGATTCCGGGGGCCGTTGCGAAACTCTATACTCTACGATTGGTTAACGAAGTGTGTGCGCACGTGTGTTTCGATTTTTCCTACACACATACACATGTAGATAGACAGACAGATGTTAAATGTGAACGATGTATATTTCAATATCTCCTACACGCATAGATGATAGATATAATGTGGACGCGTGGAGGCTTATTTCGATATTTCCTACACATACAGATAGACAGACAGATATAAAGTGGCCGCGCGGGAGGCACCTATACGCATGCGCATGTCGGCCTCCACGTGTGCATGCTCGCGCGCGCCTCAGCATCCTCCGTCCGCCAGCGTCGCGCGACACCCAAGCGCCATAAATCTCGCGATCCCGGAGCCTCGAAATGGCGCGGGGGGGGGGGGCACGTCCGCGCGCTCGGGAGACGCCGCAGCCCTCGCGAACTTAGCTCAAATTTATAAATACGACAGAGTAAACAAACTCCCGACCCAAAAAAAAAAAGAAAAAAGAAAAAAAGAAAAAAAACTTTAAATATTCGTATCTCCGTGTATTAAACCGGACGGGGGGGGGGGGGGGGTAGCGTGATTCATACCTGTACATCTTCGTTCGCATTATTTCTGGTTTTAATTCTGTGTATGTAAATTAAATTCTTTTCCTTTCTCTATCTGTCTGTCTAATTGTCAATCTCAATCTCCATTTCTCCATCTCTCACTCGTTACTCTCTCTCTTCTCTTTCCGCCTCTCTCTCTCCTGTGTACTCTTTTCAGCATAGATATATATACAATATATGTATATATATATATATATATATATATATATATATATATATATATATATATACAAAAAAGCGTGTGAAAAAGGGACTTCACCGCATCCCTTCTTCCCCCATTTTCGCCACTCAATTTTGGCGTAAAAAATGCGCATAAAGTCCGTTACTTATTTCCTTATCCTTACATCCTTAAGGACCCGGGGAGGGGGGGGGGAGGAGGAGGGGGCATGGGGTTAAAGGGTGGTGGGAGGCAGGGAGGGGGGGGAGGTATTGAGTTCCCTGATGCAAACAACATCTCGTATTTCAGGGTTGGGAAACCGACATTATTTTGAATTCATTGACGCGTCTTTCCTATCGCTAATCATCCAATTAAAAAACCAAAACCAAGGTTAAAAAGCGAGAAAAATAACGACAAAATATAAAAATAGGGAAATATCCCCCATAATCCCTCCAGAGTTACAAAAATACGATAAAGAGTTCGCTGATCAGGCGGGAAAGGATTACGCGGAGAAGCGCTAGAACCGGGTCACACAAGAGTCGTATATTTTGTGCGGAAATATGCAAAAATTCTCAAGAGGGGGATTACTCACCGTTAGGCAGCAGGGGGGGAGGGGGAGGGGGGGATCAGGGGGGGGGGGTGAGGGAGATTTCCGGGGAGTTGATGAGTTTGTGAAATTTTTGCTTTTGAATGCGAACGGGGGGGGGGGGGGGTGAGGCGGACCCTGTGCCTGTGCGTGGCTATGTGGTTTATAAAATACTATTTACATTTACATATATACACACGTGTAAATAGATAGATAGACGGACAGTTAGATTACAGATAGACAGTTTTATAGACCTATAGATAGATAGTTAAATAGATACTAACATGGGTATAGAAAAACAAATGCGTATACACACACACACACATACATACATATATAAATAAACATAGATATATAGATAGATTGGTAGATAAATAGAGATAGATTGATTGACAGATTGACTGATAGAGGGATAGATAGGTAGGTAGACATACATACATACATACATACATACATACATACACACATACATACATACATACATACATACTTACATACATAAACACACACATACGTACATACAGATGCTACTTATATTTGTATTAGCATTTCCCCAATCAGTCAGATTCATTATTACAAGCTGACAGCAACCAATATGATATACTGACAGAAAAGGGTACGAAAAAATAGAAAGAAAAACAACGAAAAAATGCTTGGCAGTTAAAAAAGGAATGTGTGTGTGTGTGTGTGTGTGTGTGTGTGTGTGTGTGTGTGTGTGTGTGTGTGTGTGTGTGTGTGTGTGTGTGTGTGTGTGTGTGTGTGTGTGTACATACATACATATGTAATATATATATATATATATATATATATATATATATATATATATATATATATATATATATATATATATATATATATATATATAATATATATAGAGAGAGAGAGGTGAGAGAGAGAGAGAGAGAGAGAGAGAGAGAGAGAGAGAGAGAGAGAGAGAGAGAGAGAGAGAGAGAGAGAGAGAGAGAGAGAGAGAGAGAGAGATCCAAGCATTCTAATAAACCAAGTCGAGTTAGTCTAGGCCTACACTAGGCTTAAGATAAACATTAAAAAAACTCTTCGGAAGTTTACCATTTTCCCCTTTTTCATCGCCCCGGTGGGAAGGTGAAGAGAAGGGGGGAAGAGGGGAGAGGGGTGAGAGAGAGAGAGAGAGAGAGAGAGAGAGAGAGAGAGAGAGAGAGAGAGAGAGAGAGAGAGAGAGAGAGAAGAGAAAAGAAAGAAAGAAAGAAAGAAAAAAAGAAAGAAGAAAGAGAGAAAAAAAAGAAAGAGAGAGAGAGAGAGAATGAGAGACAGAAAGAGAATATGAGAGACAGAAAGAAAAGAGAGAAGAGAGAGAGAGAGAGAGAGTAAATGGGATGTGTGGGGAGCGACACCTAGCTCCAAACTGACACATAAAATATGAAATGATTAGCGCCTTCTGCGATTGGAAACAGCTGCGAGGGCGGGTCTTCAGGCAGAGGTGAGGGGGGGAGGGGGAGGGGGGAGGGAAGGAGGTCGCAAGGGCAGGGGCAAGGAGGAAGAGCTAGGGGGGGGGGGGCGGGGATAGGTCGTAAGGGCAGGGGCAAGGGGGAGGGGGAGGGGAGGGGAAGAGGTGAGGAGAGTCTTCCTGCGTGAGAGAAGGAGAGGAACGTCTTAGCGCGACGTCGTGACGATCCGCGCGAGGAAGACGTTGCTTTTAAGACGTAACCTGAGGCGCGAGCAACACCCGCCGGCGCCTGGGTGAGGTTCGCGGGGAATTTTTTTTTTTTCGGGAAACAACGGTCGGTAGATCGAAAAAAATATAAGACATACAAAATGATAACAATAATTATCGAATAAAGTATAGATAATGATGATAATAATGATTGAACGAATGATGTATATATAATGATAATAATACTAATTATTGAACAAATAAGGTATAGATAATAATAATTATCGAACAAATAAAGTATATATAATGATGATAACAATAATCATCGAGCAAATGACAAAGTATATATAATGATAATAAAGAAGGAAGAGAGACAGAAAAGAAAACAAAAAACAAAACGAAAGACAGACAAATGGAAAAGAAGGAAGAGAGGTAGAAAAGAAAAAAAAAAAAAAAAAACGAAAGAGACAATAAAAAAGAAAGAAGAGAGACATTAAAGACAAAAAAAAAAAAAAAAAAACGAAACACAGACAAATAAAAGAAGAGAAGGAAGAGAGACGGAGGAAAGGATAGCCAAAGCGGCGGAAAGGAGCGCGGGAAAAACGAAGTAATTGATCCGTGGAGAATACAAACACGGAGGAGAGGTGACAAGGGGAAGGCGCATGGAGGAAATGAGACGGAACGGGAACTATGCCGCGCCTTGTAAGGGTGAATAATGCCCGGTTCTCGTGGGATAAACGACGCAGGATTTATCTTTTGAGCTTTTTTTTTTTTTTTTTTATATTTTGGGAAAAAAAAGCGCGGGTAAACAAGACCCGGGGGAATGGGGGATTGGAAAATACCGGATGGGGCGGGAAAGGAAATACTTATTTGTATATTTATACACACACCCATACACTTTCACACACGCACACACACACACACACACACAACACACACACACACACACACACACACACACACACACACACACACACACACACACACACACACACACACGAACACACACGCAAAACACACACACAACACACACTCAAAACATACATGCACACATAATACAAACACAAGACGAAAATGAATGAGAGGTCCGTCTAAAACTACAATAGCCCCCACTTCTCACGAAACGCTGTTTGGCGCAATCACACGGGAGGAGGAAAATGCAGCCAATGAAAACACGGCTACCACACTGCCTGTTGACATTCCACAGTTCGTAAGTTTGCTGTCACTTAGCGCAGACTTTCCCCTTTCCCCTCGTGGTATATGAAGGGGAAGACCTGATGCCACCCCTGGGAGCTTCTTAACCCTTTCCGAACAAACTCCGAAGCCCAGAGATGAAAAAAACGTTAAACTGGGTGCCGAAACGTGGCCACACTAACAAACTACTGAGTCACGAGCTTCGACGCAAAAGCTGACAGCTGTATAAACCCATAGCCCTCCATTCTTGCACTGATTGGATAAATACGCGAACACTTCTGGAGACATAGAGCGGCTGGGAGACTGACAAATACTTCGGTATAATGTGTCTCTTTGGTTTGTTTTCTTTGTGGGAGGTTAGCGGCATATGGGGAAAAAATAAAAAATAAAAAAAGCAAAATACGCTAGTTTGAAGACTACATTGAAAATTATCTTGTTTTAATGTAACTATAAAATTACGAGAAAATATTTGGTGTTTCATACAATTCCTTGATTGAATAAAAAAGAAGAAAAAAGAGTTGCTATTTGAATGCCGTGAGGAGTAGAATAAATGAAAGGAAGACGATTTGATAATAAAGTCATCAATGCTATTGACACCAATAATGAAACGATTAGCAGATGATAGGTTTCAAGACCGTAGTCATCTGTATAATTATATAATATATTATCATTACTGAGCCGAGCGTCGCATTAATTTAATCATCTTTGATTGTTGCTCATAATAAGGCGCGTTAAAGAAGAATAAAGGTAGAGCGAAATAATATAAATGCAGAATAAGGTGCCATCTTTGCTCTCCTCTTTCTACGTTACAGCCACCTCCTCCACCCCCTCCTCCACCACAACTTCCATATCCATCTCTTCCTCCATTTACGCTACCATTATCACTACCACTACCTCCACCTCCTTCTCTCCACCTCCAACTCCACTACCTCCACCTCTACCTCCTCCTCCCCACCACCATTACCTCTTCCACCCACTACCACCATTCCACCTCCTCCTCCTCCTCCTCCTCCTCCTCCTCCTTAGGTCCCTTAGCCTTCTCCTCCTCCTCCTCCTCCTTAGCCTCCTCCTTCCTCCTCCTCCTCCTCCTCCACCTCCTCCTCCTCCACCTCCACCTCCTCCTCCCATCCTCCTCCTCTCCCCTCCACACTCCTCCTCCTCCTCCTCCACCTCCTCCTCCTCCTCCTCCACCTCCTCCTCCTCCTCCTCCTTAGCCTCCACCTCCTCCTCCTCCTCCTCCTCCTCCTCCTCCTCCTCCTCCCTCCTCCTAGCCTTCCACCTCCTCCTCCTCCCCTCCTTAGCCTCCTCCTTCTCCACTCCGGGCTCCAAGACAAAAGCCGAGAGGACAAGGATGCGGAGGAGGCGTTTTCCAAGAGCGATGCGAAGGACAATTGCTGCTCCAGACTATACGCGACCGAGGAGAGAAAAGGAGGTTCAGGCACAGAAATAATGGGATGTGAGAGAGAAGCCGCTATTCAGACTCGAGGCCCCGGCGAGGGAGAGGAGGAGCCGGGGGAGGGAGGAGGGGGGGGAAGGGGGAGGACTAGAAGAGAGGGGGGAGGGAAGGGAGGGAGGGGGATGGAAGGAGGGAGGGGACTAGAGAAGGAGGAGGGGGGAGAGGAGGAGCTGGAAGGGAAGAGGGGATGGAAGGAGGGAGGGGGGGGGAGGGAGGAGGGTGGAAAGGGAGGAGGGATGGAATGAGGGAGGATCTTGGGGGAGGAGGAGCTGGAAGGGAGGGGTGGGAGGGGGGCTGGAAGTAAGACGGGGCTGGGGGAGGGAGGGGGTTAGAAGGAGGGAAGAACTGGGGGAGGGAGGAGGTCCTTGGGAGGGGGAAGGACGTGGAGGAGGGTGGGGGATAGGGGCTGGAAGGAGGGGGGGAAGAACCTGGGGTAGGTAGAGGGTGGGAGGAAGGGGGGGCTAAGAAGAAGAAGGAGGGAGGAGGGAGGAAGAGGGATAGGGGTAAAGGAGGAGGAAGGAAAGGGAGCAGAACCTGGGGATAGGTAGAGGGAGAGAGGGAAGACACGAGGAGGAAGGGGAGGGGGATAATCAGGAGGGGAATGAGAGGAAGGACCCGAGAGGCAGGAGAGATGGGGGAGACATGGCGGGAGGAAGGAGGAGGGGGGAGAGAGTGATGAGGGAGTGGAGGGGAGGGGGAGGGGGCGGGGTTTTGAGATCTTACAAGATTATTATTTTCTTTTTTGAAATTATGTTTTCTGTGTTTCTGCAATTTTATCTACCTCTCATTCCCTTACTCTCTCTCTTTTCTCTGTCTCTCTCTCTCTCTATCTATCTCTATCTATCTATCTATCTATATACATTTTTTCTTTTATCTTTCACTTTATGTTGTATCTCCTTTGCCTTTTTTATCAATTCTATTTGCGATTGTAAAGATGCGATGCCAATATATATATATATATATATATATATATATATATATATATATATATATATATATATATATATATATATATATATATATATATATATATATATATATATATAATATATATATATATATATATATATATATATATATATATATAATATATATATATATATATATATATATATATATATATATATATATATATATATATGAAAAGACTATCTATCTCCATATATTCATCAAATCTATCCCTCCTATACATGCACACATACATACAAACACACACACACACACACACATACACATATACATATATACACATATATTATATATACATATAATATATATATATA